TTCACCGGAAAGAGTCTACTAAGTAAAGGAAATCATTTCAACGTTGTATTCTTAGGACTCGGTAACCACTTTTCTCTTTGAAACTAAGAATTTTGAGTGATTTATTATAAATTTATAATGACAGTTGTGAACACCAGTTGTTTTCTTTCTTTTTTTCTGGCATGCGAACAGAGTCTGTTGACTGCCTTGGTGCTTAAAATAGTTTCTAAGTGTCCTCATAATAGCATGTCACCTGTAAACAGGTTTCAAGCCAATGCAAATTAACAAATGGTGAACAGATGGACTAAGAACTGACTTTTGTCAAGAGAGAGTTAGCAACAAACACTTTTGGCTCCAGTCTTGTGGGACCATTAGAAAGTCTTTCACTTCTCGCCAAGCATCTTGCCTCAGTAGACAATCCAAGCAGAGAAGATGACAAGTTATAAGGGCCCATTAGACTTCTGAGAGCCGAAAGTTGAGATGTGCAGAACCGCCAAATCAACACATGAGAAGCATCAGACAGAAGAAGCTTCCTGCCAAATGTGAAAACTCTCTCTATCCTGCATCACTCAAAGAAACTGTCCCTGTAGTCTCTGCAAAGGATGGCAACTGTGCATGCAGCAGACAAAAAATAACTTGTTGGAGGCTGGCTGGTTATGTCCATCCCGTCCTAGAAGCAAACGTTAACTGTGAAGAAAACCTGAGAGTCACAGGAATGGTGGGCTATGGGTGTCCACTGAGAGCAGAGATCCCCAGAGCCGTCTCCTGCAATGTCCCCAGCTCCTGAATGGCCCTTCTCCTCCTCGTTCTCCGGGTCTCCCCCTCATGTCATCTCCTTGGAGAGGCCTTCTCTGACCACCCGTTTTAAGCAGTCTCCCCTCCTTACCACCCTATGCGTTCCCTTCCTAAGTACTAATCATAACCAGAAATCGTTGTATTAATTTATTAATTTGTTTAGGGGTACTTGTTTTTTGTCTTTTCCCCCCAGTTCAACCAAAAGCTTCAGGAAGATGGGACCACGTCTGTCTTGCTCATGATTGTATCCCCAGAGCCTAGGGCAGTGCGTGGCAGAGAGCAGGCATAATAAATAGTTGCTAACCAAACAGAAAATAAATGAGATCCTGTGTAAAGGCAAACAACCGAACCTCCCCTGCAAACACCCCTCTGGACTGGAAATTTTAAAATGTAGTTTGTAACTGAGGAAGTAAGCAAAAGAGGGTACAACAGGAGGGCGGGTTGGGCTGGGCAATGCGTGTAAAGACCGAGTCGAGCTTTGGGGAGTAGCGCCCCTTTCAGGGGAGTGTTCACGTGGATAGAAAAGCTACTGGCAAAGACTGGTGTGCTCCAATTTCTGGCTCCACGTCACTGACTGAGCCTCGGCCTTCACCTACTGGGGCTTCTACTAGAGAACAACCCAGCAGGTGGAATAATTGTGGCATATTCAAAGGAATACTACACAGCAACAAAAAAGAACAAGCAACCTGGATGAATCTAACAGATACTGTGTTGAGTGAAGACGGCTGATATAAAAGATTATATATTGTGTGATTCCATTTATATGAATTTCAAGAGCAGGTAAAATCAATTGTTCAAGGAAGTCAGAATAGCTGTTAAACTTAGGGAGGGAGGCGGCACTGGGAACACGAGAAGAACCCTTGTGGGGGTTCTGGAAGCGGTGGCCACGTGGCTTGATCTGGGTGGAGCTACACGGAGGTATACACATGTGAACAACCAGTGATCTGTACACTTCACAGTGTCTGCTATCTCTCCTACTGGGAAAAGGAAGAGCACATATATTCACTATTTTAAAAAAGAATAAGTGGGCCTAGCACTGATTCTAATCCCAGCTCTACCAGATTCCCTAGATGGCCTGCAGCTTATCAAAATGTGCTCCTCGGCTGTGTCATTTGTAAGATAAGGAGAACTGCCCTTATGCTCTGCCAACTCTGGGAATGTGACAAGGAAACAAAGAATAAGCTCTGAGGTATCCTGAAGTCCTAGAGTCACACACAAACCATGTAAACTATGAAGTGCATTATAACTGCTTATTTTAAGACCTATGCAAAATAGATTACCTACATGTTTGGTTTCTAATCTTAACAGATACCTTTTTAAAAGAAAGAAATGACTTTGCAAAAGCAAGTTTCCATTAGCTAAAAACAAGCACAAAGCAGACTTCACCCAGGACAAAAGTACGTTTTTCAAACCCATCACTCACTGAGGCGGTAAGACAAGAGTCGTGGGTTGAGCCTTTGGTCTACGTTTAGCAGATACTCCCATCTGGTTAGCAGAACGTTTCAACGACTGTTGATTCAGAAGGCCAGATGCCAGACCTGCATGGTACTGCAACTGCAGAGAAAAACCAAACAAAAGGGGAAGAAAAATAACATTTGGTAAAAGCTAGACAAGGGGTATTACACTATCAATACTTGATACATCTTACCGGCTCAGAACATTTTTAATAACTTCAAATACAGCTGCTAACATTTTGCTTCAAGGAATGTATTTATAAGGAGAAAATCAGACAAATAGGAAAAGAAACATGAATAAGGTGCTCATCATGGCATTACAAAATGAAAAAGAACTGGAAACAATCTAAATGCCCAACAATAACTGGGAAATTGGGTAAAATACGTAAAGAACTTTAAAACATCATTTTGTTGAATTAAAAAAAAACCAAACAGGTTACACTGTAAACAGAGAGACACTTAAAAACATGTTCTCTAAAATGTTAACAGTGTATTTCTAAATAGTAGAATTGGGATAATTTTTTACTTTATTTTTCACTGCTATTCATATATGCTTTATGTAAATGGTTTTAAAGCTTATGTCATTTTTTACAAGAGGAGCCAGTGGGCTTCCTTAAAGACAGATTAGCTCTGGGAACTCCTGCTGCCGTCATGTCTTGCTTATAATAAAAAGCATATAACTCATGGTCCACTGCAGTAAACCAGGAGCACAACAGGCTTATCATAAACAGATTCAAACATACCGCTGGGCTGCTGCTTCCCGAGGTTAAGATCCAAGTATCAATCACAAGAATAAGCACATGAATATATCTTACGACAACGTATACAAATGGATATAGGTTCACTGAACAGAACTGGTTGGAGAAGTTAATTCCACTCCGTGTACACGCAACTGGAACAATACAACTGGGGTAAGGAAGCAGTGGACTTTAAATGGGCTGAGAGCCAGCATTCTCTGCTTTGTTCACGACAAACTGCTGAGCTTCGAGGTTACTTAGGACAGATCATCTTACCTTTCTAGACTTTGATTTCTCTATTGGAAAAGAGAAATAATACTGCCTAATTCTAAAACAAACATGACTTTTCAAAAAATCTTCTTTATTGGGTTATAATTTACATAAAATAAAATGCACATATTTTAGGTGTACAGTGTGATGTTCTGACAACGTATACCTGTGACACTGCCACCCCAATCAAGATACAGAAAATCTCCATCACTGCAGAAAGTTCCCTTGCGCCCCAATGCAGTCAATCTCCCTCGCCCCCAACTCCGATCATGAGGATCTTTCAATTTAAAATACAACTTATCACTCTCACTCATCGCCAAATGAAGCTTATATCCAATTTGACATGTGACCATGACTCCCATCTTCCTTTTTAAATCCCATACTTTTGTACTTTAGATCTTAAGGGCTGTCATTCATCTCTATAACAAAATTATCCTTGAAAGGTATCCCAATTTTCAACAGATGTAAATAAAACATTCAGATGTGAAAATGCCAAGCCAAGAATTTGGACTGAGGCCATTTATAACATCCAGTATGTTTCTTCCTCCCTTCTCACATTAAGCAAGGCCTTTCATGCATTTATTTAGAATTAACTAATATACAAATAGTAATTCATTCTGAAGCTCTGAATCAATTTCTTTTCAAAATGCTCTTCCAAGGCATAGATTTCCTTTGCAGAGTCAGCTACATTACAGCTCATGGTAATGAAACTGGTGACCACCATACAGAAGGGGCCGGGGCCCTGGATGCAAAGGGTAATAACGTTCTGAAAAATAAATGGCCTCACCTAAAGCCACTGGGCTGCACACAAATACAGAGTGGAAGAAAACAAAACCAATTGAAATGATCTGCTTCTTGAAAGTGACTAAAAAAATGAAGATATCCAGTGACCCAGTAATACTGAAATGTCTGTGTTTGGAGCATCCATATTGCTTTTCAACAGGCTCTTGATTTACTTGGTCGATTTGCTGTGGGAGCCTTATGGCTGCACAATACAAGACAGAGATATATCACATTGATAATAAGAACGGAGCTCTTCTCGGGGTGGAAAGGGGGGGCATAATTTGGCTCTAACAACTCATCGCAGACCAATGAATTTTGCTCAAATTTGTTTTTCTGCTACAGATTTCTTAAATGGGAAATCGATGGAAGCAAGGGACAGTACGAGTTTGAAAGACGATGTTTCAAAATGTCAGCTACTTGGGTTTCGATCTTCCCCACCAGAATTTGCAATGAGTGCAATATGCATGGAGCTTTACGGAATTAAAGGGAAAGACAGCTTGGCAGGGGTCCCCTCCTGGCTCAAGGAATCGTCTCTCCGTTTGGCTCTCCTTCTTTTCTGTATCTTATTGGGGTCCATGCAAAGCTCAGCCACTCCAGCCCTGCTGACTCTTTTGAGTGGACGAGTCCTGCTAACCACGCAGAGCAGCATGGTGATTTTGCCCACCTGGCATCATTTTGATCATTTGCCCAAACAAACCAACCCAAAACAGCAGAAATGCACGCTAGCTGCTGTCTTTCAAAGGGCTCCTTTGAAACTTCTACCATCTTGGATGCTCTTAATGTACACCACACCCCTAAGAGCACATGAAGATGGAAGGACTTTTCTTCCCCCAAAAGGAAACCTGCCTTTGAAAGCTGACTCACAGTGATTAAGCAACATTTGCTCACCATATATACGCTTCCCAGTTTCCAGGAACACAGCTCCGACTGTCAAGATCTATAAGGAGCCCATTAAATATTTACCAAACCATCTTTATAATGGGAGAAAAGGTCAAAGTTAATAAAACTGACAGGCAGCTCCTGTCCAACTGGATTTATACATTATTTAAGCACTAAATACTCCATTCCATGAAACACAGTTTAGATCTGAAAAGACTCCTGGAAAATGTTCACTCAGACAATGGTTCTAGAACAGCAGAAGGGAGTTCAGAGCTAATCTACAAATTAACATTAAGAACATATCACTTCCCAAAATACTGCCGTAAGTTTTCAGTTACAGGCTCTGTAATATTTTCTATAAAATATATATTTCAATAAACATACATGGCTTGGGAACAACTCTATTTCAAAAGGCAACTTATCAAAGTTATAATGTGATTTTTCTATCCAAGATCATTTCTCCATTAATCAGCAAGAATAAAATGAAAGAGGGAGAGAAATAAAGCAGTCCATTCTTTTAAATGGGAGTGTTCATGCGGTCGGCTGCGGTGAGGGGGCTCTTTATTTACTGATAAGTGGCCACTCCGCAGTAGCAGCTATTTCCATGTTCTCTGGATTTTGAGAACATTTCTCTCAGTTCCTATTTTGCTATCTATTAATGTCAAACTTCTATTTTCTATGACTAACCTCGGATTTTTCTGTCAGTTCTCAACCTAAAGCCCTTTCTAATCAATTATGTCTACTAATCAGCTCTATGCCTGAGATATTTTCAACAACTCATAATGATCTGAGGGAAACACCATTTTGAATTAGGAAAACCTTGATTTACTGCACATTTCTTAAAGTAATGCTGTTTTAGTAATATTAAACACGCACAAGTGTTGAATGTTACCAACTCTAACGTACAGACTAAGAGCCTCCATAACAAGCATTCTCTTTGAAAGTGTGCTACTGAGCTCTGCTACTAACAAGAGCTGTGCGGTCTTACACATCTCACTCCCCTCTCTGCAAAACATGCGTTATGTTTTCTCCAAGGATCCACCTAGCTCTAAGGTTTGATTCCTCTAGGTTTCTAAAGAAATTACATGGGTATTTGACTTCACCACAAAGTGTTGAAGTAATGTCCCTACAATTTCATATAACAGCAAACCCTTTTCCTCTGGATAGCCTAAGTCTTTACTGCTTTTAAAAAAGTCCAAATCCAATTAGCTTTAATATGCTTCAAATCACAAGTAACAAAATGTACTGGAAGGAAATGACATGAAAGGAAATTATTTTAAAATATAGGCCTCAAATGCAAAGTTTCTGACTTAAATCTCGGGTTCAGAAAATCAGATGAGCAATGATCCCCCTGCTTAGTTCTCCAACTTGTTTCACGTCTTCCACGTTGTTCTGAATGCTCTACCTGCTCCAAAATAGATAAAGGACGTGTTCTGCAATGGACAGAAGTTTGAGAAGAAAATAGAAGGAAATTCATCATACTGATTACATTCAATATACTAATTAAGCCAGTGGTGTTCAATCAGGCCTAGTACTTAAAAGCTGTAGTGTCTCCTAGAACCTCCCAGGGGTCCACAGTACAGCATCTATCCATAAGTAACACTATCCTGCCCGTGCCATATGGCCTGAATCCCACTTTAAGAAAAGTGACATTCAAAAATCTCAAAATTTATAAGCAATATCAATGAAGGTTTGATTCTTCCTACTCTGAAAACCATCATTTCGTTTTCAAAGACTCACCAAAGGCTTCTTTAAGGGTGGGGGCAAAAGCTCAACAACAACAGCAGCAGGACTCCTCCGAACCTTAAGGCTGACACTTTATTTCTAAAAATCACTTTACACAGAATTACATATACGTTTATAAGAACACCAGGAAGACACATTGGTACTTCCAGTAACTAAACCCTTTGGATGAAGAATGAGCTAGAAGTAAGTCATGATAAATTCTGGCTGGCTTAGAGCAGGGCCACAGGAGGGGAAGAAGAGATCAAGGCTGGGGAGCCCCTGGGCCTCCTCCAGTCCCCCTCGGGCAGCTCCCTTCTCCCAGCAGAGCTCCTCTCTGTCACTGGGATTTGGCAGCAGGTAAAGTAGCCTGGTGTTCTTCCTTGGTCCAGGAGTGAAGCTGGCCACGAGGGAGACATATCTGGAGGACAGCCTTGTTATTGATTAGCCTGCATTCTCTGCAACCTGCAGGGTAGCACATGACGTACAGGTGATGCTAATGAATTTGTCAGCTCTTAAGTGGACTGGCAGATTGGTGAAACTGCCCTGGCCTGGCCTGGCCTGTCACTGGAGCCAGTCTGGAGAACAGAATGACTCCATCAGACAGTCCTCTTAAGGCTGGTCTCTTACAAAAGCAAACACACAGCTTTGAAGGAATCCTTTCTCCCTCATACTCTAGTTGCTAAAAAAGCGGGCATGTCTGAACCTC